TTTATTGTCTTTTGATGACCACAACATATTTTTATACATAAAATAAAACTAAAAATATGGTTTAAAATATTCTGTGCCCCAGTTTTGGTATAATACCTAGGGTTGCCGACTGAAACCCAAACACCTTGTCCCGCCTCCAAACCTACTCGTTGCTCAAGGCCAATCCCCACCTTTTCTCCGAGGACCTGCCCCCTCCTCCCCACAAACTCCATCCCCTCTCCCTCCATTGCTGGCTCTCCCTAATCCCCACTCACTTTCACCAGGCTAGGGCAGGAAGTTGGGGTGTGGGAGGTGGTGCGGGCTCTGGGCTGGGGCCAAAGGGTTAAGGGGAGGAGGATCCAGGCTGAGCCTGGGCCTAGGAAAGGGGTGCAGGAGTGAGTGTGAGTTAAAAGTGGGAATTTTGGTGCAGAAAGGGGCTCAGGGTTAGGGTGTTGGAGTGGAAGGTGCAGGAGAGATTTGGGGTGCTGGTTCTGACCAGGCAAAACTTACCTCAGGCAACTCCCAGTGGGCAGCACAAAAGGGCTAAGGCAGGCTCTTTGCCTGTCCTGGCTCTTATTGCTCCTAGAAGCGGCCAGCATGTCCCTGAGGACCCTGATAGGGCAGGTGGCTCTGACAATGCCCGCACCCTATGCACTGATTCCTCAGCTCCCATTGGCCAGGAACTGCAGTCAATGGGAGCTGCAGAGCAGTGCTTTCAGGCAGGGACAGAGCATAGAGACCTCCTGGCACCCTCTTGTCCCCTGGTCAGGAGCCACAGTCATATGTTAGCCGCTTCCAGGAGTGGCAGAGGGCCAGCGCAGGTAGAAGGCTATCTTAGCCCTGCTGTACTGCTAGACTTTTAATGGTCTAAAAATCTCTGTTTGGCTACAGTAGCCACCAGGAGATAGTCTGATTCCAGAAGATTCCTGGCCACATCAGGAGGGTTGGTAACCTAATACCTGCTTATTCAGAGCCTATTGTGATTGGCATTCTACAAAAGGAGAATAATAGGCTAGACAAATGGATGGATGGATGGATGGATGGATGGATGGATGGATGGACTGCTTCACTTAGGAAGTAAGAATAACTCTCTTCATAGATTCATAGATTCCATGGCCAGAAAGGATCACTGTGATCATCTGGTCTGACCTCCTTTATAAAATAGGCCATAGGCATAATCCAAAATAATTCCTAGAGAATATATTTTTAAAAAATGTATCTCGATTTTAAAATTGTCAGTGATGGAGAATTCACTATGACCCTTGGTAAATTTCAATAGTTAGTTATTCTCATCCATAAAAAATATATGCCTTTTATTCAGTCTGAGGGTATGTCTACAGAACAGAGTTTTGTCGAAAAAATGGCCATTTTTCCAACAAAACTTGAGGAACGTCCACACTGCAACTGCGTTCTTCCACAAGGAAATCGAAAGAACAGAGGGAGTTTTCTGGCACTGGTAATCCTCATTCTATGAGGAAGAAGCCTTTTTGTGAAAGAGCTCTTTCGCAAAAACTGTGTGTATAGATGGGGAAGAGGGAGTTCTTTTGAAAGAAGAGGACAGAGGAAAAAGCACAGGTGTCCTGGTGGCCATTCCGTCCATAGCAATCACAGCTTACATGTGAGAGAACATCCATTCAGTCTGGACGCTCTCTTTTGAAAAAGCAGATCACTTTTTCATTGCACTTTGGGCTATGTCTAGACTGGCATGATTTTCCGCAAATGCTTTTAATGGAAAAGTTTTTCCGTTAAAATCATTTGTGGAAAAGAGCGTCTAGATTGGCACAGATGCTTTTTCTGCAAAAGCAGTTTTTGCGGAAAAGCATCCATGCCAATCTAGACGCAGTTTTGCGCAAGAAAGCCCCTATTGCCATTTTCGTGATCGGGGCTTTTTTGCGCAAAACAATACCGCGTTGTCTACACTGGCCCTCTTGCGCAAAAGCATTTGCGCAAGAGGGCTTTTGCCCGAACAGGAGCAGCATAGCATTTCCGCAAGAACACTGACAATCTTACATGGTATCGTCAGTGTTCTTGCGGAAATTCTAGCGGACAGTGTAGACAGCTGGCAAGTTTTTCCGCAAAACCACGTGCTTTTGCGGAAAAACTTGCCAGTCTAGACGCAGCCTTGCAGTGTGGACACCCTCTTTCAGAAGAAGTTCTTTTGGAAGATTTCTTCTGAAAAAAGCTTCTTCCGAAAGAAGCCTGTAGTCTAGACGTAGCCTAAACTTGTTTAGCTTCACCTTCCAGCCATTGGATGATATTATATCTTTCTGTGCTAGACAAAGGAGCCCATTATTAAATATTTGTTCCCCATGTAGGAACTTACAGACTGTAATCAAGTTTTCCTTAACCTTCTCTTTGCTAAGTTAAATAGATTGAGCGCTTTGAGTCTATCCTGGCAGTAAGACATGTTTTCTAACCCTTTAATCACTCTCAAGGGTCTTCCCTGAAGCCCCTCCAATTTATTAACATCCCTATAACTGTAGGCACCAGAAATGGATGCAGTATTCCAGCAATGATCACACCAGCATCAAATATAGAAATAAAATAATCTCTTTTGTCATGCTGGATATTCCCTTATTTATACATCCTAGGATCACATTAGCTCCTTTGGCTAAAGTGTCACCCTGGGAGTTCATGTTCAGCATGATTTCCAAATCTTTTTCGGAGTCACTGCTTTCCAGCAAAGAGTAACCCATCATATCACTATGGCCTATATTTTATGTTCTGTTTCTTGCTTTTCTTTTAAAATAGGGGTGCATCTACACAGCAACCTTACCTCAAAATAAGCTATGCAAATTGTGCTGCACACATTGCGTAGCTTATTTCAATGTTATTTTGAAATAGCTTATTTCAAAATTTGGCACTGTCTACACAGCACCAAATATCAAAATAAGGCACTATTCCAAAACATCCCTTATCCCTCATGCAATGAGGTTTGCAGGGACGTTGGTATAGCAAGTCCATTTATTGTGATATAACGGACTTGCTCTTAAGATGCGGAATAGCTATTCAGGATAGGTCCTAAAATAGCTCCGCTGTGTAGACTTAGCCTAGGTGACTATAACAAACACTATGTCCTCACTGTATTTATGTTAATATTGTTTGTCTTCTCTTTCCTGTCTTTCTGATTTCCATATTATTGCTGCTCTTTGCTTCATAAGCACCTGATAATTACAGCTTTGTTACCTGATAGTCATCTTTTTTAAAGAGCTAACAAGATTTCTTTTTCAGGCAAAACTGTGAAAATATTTTGACTGAAGTTGTGCAAAAATATTTCAAGCAACCCAAAGCACAGATGTCAAAATATGTTTGGGGGATAACACACTTATTGATATACAATGATAACATATAGTTATATTAGGAAACAAGTGGGCAAATACAGGTCTAGAGTTTCTAACTGGCAGCTAACAACTACTGCTTGAAACAAGCATGTTGATGAAAAGGCTTTGCATGCCATTTCTTTTCCTCAATCCATTTTTGATCAGTTTCAGCACAGAGTCTTTGAACCGGTTCCAGCCAGATGAACACCACATTCTTTCTTTGGAATACAGAGATAAATCTGGGATTCTGAGCACTCTCTGAGGAGTCAATCAGTGACAGTCACTTTCTATAGCCTCTAGCCTTCCCCTTGACTCTGCATGTCATCAGGAAAAGTGAGTCTGGGCTCACTACTTTCTCTTCCACCCTTTTAACACCACATGTTTCCTGACCCTTGCCTTTTCTGCTGGGAGGGTTGCCACCTGCACATCAAATCTGTTAACACAATGACATCCTGTACCTTCCATATGTCCAGAATTCATTATTTTATTTAAACTATCCTGTATGATAGATACATGGCCAGGGCATGCTTGATGTTGTATCATCTTTGTAATTGAAACAAAATTACTATGTAGCTACATAGTCCTGTATTTTGTTTCAGCTACACCAGACTAACACGGCTACATTTCTATCCCCATCTTTGTAATGTAAGAACAAAACCAGGTTACTGTTGTGCTTCTACTTTTTTCTAACAGTAGAAGTAACTGAACTATCACATTTTAAAAGCCTTATACTCCACAATCCAATGCGCTGTTCTTTTTAAATATAATTATAACTAGAAATAAGCTACTTGAAGAGCAAAATCTACCTACAAATGCCTAGCGGGAAGGCTAGACACAGCTGCATAGCAAAAGGCAATGTATTGATCAGAGTTTTGTGGAATGATGTCTGAGTACTACTCTCCAACTACTTCCTGCTGCAGTGCTTATAAGGGAGATATTGCTGGGCAGGATATGGAGATGGATGGTGGTACCCTCCACATATACTGTGTGGGCACATGACACCTACCCTAACAATGGACAACGCACCTATCTTCAGACTTCTGGGAAGGAGCTCAGGTCTGTGTGCAAGACTGTTTGTGTTCTCATTTACAGAAGCAAAAAGGAAGTTTTGGAGATAGCTGGTTCACCTATAGCTGTTTATTGACACTGAGTTCACCCTGTGGCCCTTACACACACATTGATTGTGACTAGAACTACTTGCACATTAATAGTGTTGTGAACTGACTCCCTGGCTGTTTACAAGTTTTAGGGTAGTTATACTAATATTTTTCTGTGTTTTCACTGAGGGGGAAAAAATGGCAGAGAGAACTTTTTTCCCTTTACCTCTGCATTTCCAGCCTGGCCTATTGGATATAAACAGATTTCCTACTCCTAAGCAGATGATGTATCCAAATATTCAATAATCATGAGTCAGGCTCATCAGAAATTATGAGACTGGCTTTAAAATCATATGATTGTGTAAAAAGAATAGATTTGGAGATCTTTTTATTTGCCTTTTGCATTTTTAGCTTGTAGGGTGCATGATATACACATTTCTGAAGCTTTCTCTATAGTTTGAAGAGGGGATTTGAAACTTACTCTTTCCTTAAGAATGAAGGCTGTGATCCTCACATATCCACTGACTCCAGGAGCTGGGGCTTTAAGGAAGAAAATAATTATCATGAGACTCATGACAAAATCATGAGAGTTGGCTACACTGACTTGTGTTGCTTCTTTAAAACATTTTTGTTATGCTGGTAAAACAACTGAGCGCAGCTGCCACTGAGAAAGTTGGTGGTAGCTGTGGTCAAAGATGAAGAGTCCACCATGGTTCTCTTACTATTTTAGGAACTGACAGCTGGAAGACCTCAGTCTTTGTCTGCCTTTCTCACTGTGATTAGACTGGGTTTGATTAAACTGCCTAGCCATTCAAACAAAAGCGTGTGCTTTCATGCAAAGCCTTTAAGAATATCTTAGTTTCCATAGTCAGGTGGAGAAACAAACCAGCCTGAAACAGGCACATGGCTAAGAGGAGAAAACGTGTCCCAAAGTACCGAGGATTTCTGTAGCAAAGAAAAGTTTGTCCCTCCAATCTCCCAAGACCACATGATTATCCTTTCCCTCAGTCATAGCCCAAACTCAGGTGGGGGCTGCTATCCTGTTATCTAAATTATAAGTTCGGTACTTCCTGATTTCTCACTGGTGTGGATGTCTATTACCTGTGGGTTTTTTCCTATTTGGCAGAACTAACTATTAGATGCAGCCCCTTACCTGCTTGGACTTGGTTCTTTTATGCATTGTCTATACAGTTCAAAATTATGCCCAAAACCAAACTTGGTTTACTATTGCAACCAACTGCATTTTGTTAGCTGATAATTCTGATCATTTATAGATTACAGTGGGACTGCTTTTGCTTTTCAGAGGATTCTGCCTATTCAGGCCACTACACTGATGGATAGACTATGGAGCTGTGTTAATTATGGGACATTCTCTCAAATGACAGCACAGACATCCCATTCCCCAGAGGTCTGAGAGTCACTGTGCTTTCTGAAGCACATTATCTCCAGGATGTGGTGGAACAGTTCTTCACTGTCCCTAGAACCCAGAGTAGAACTTGCCAATTAGCCCAGAATGTTCAAATGAGGAGCTCATTGTTAAGCCTATGAGTAGACTCTAGAAGTGTAGGATTCCAGCCTTGTGATGGAACCAACAGACCCCACCTCTCTTTCTTAGTATGGGTACATCTGCACTTGCTCCCTAGTTCGAGCTAGGGATGCAAATGTAGCTGACCGAAAGTCCAATGAAGTGTAATTGTATAATGTCTGTATGTGGATTTATAAACATGTACTCTGTATCGATGCTGGAAACTTTTCTGTCTGTGGCTGAACAATGCAGAGGAATGCTCAGCCCATGGATAAGCTAATGAGTGAGGTTTCAGGGACAATGACCCTCTATAGGCCAAAGACACACCTCAGGAATGTGACTGATACCTAAGGGCTACTAGCAGGGAACAGAGGGATAGGCCACTGGCCAGGGGCCCTGCTGCAGCCAAGAAGAGACGAGGAAGGAGGTATATAGGGGCCATGTGGCATCCTCCATTTGGTCTTCAGCTCAGCTCTTGATCCTAGAGGCAGCCTTGCAAGGAGCCACGAGCCGGAAAGAACTGTGGACCCATCCTGACATAGGATGTACACCAAAGACTTTTAAGCCACCAGTTATAACATCTCTGCTACAAGCCTGAATCGAAAACTGGGAGATTTGATGCATGTAATGTATGATATTTTAACAACCTTACTCTCATGCTTTTCTTTCTTTTAGTAATAAATCTTTAGATTTTAGATTCTAAAGGATTGGCTCAGCGTGATTTGTGGGTAAGATCCAGAGTGTAAACTGATTGGGACCTGTGGCTAGTTTCTTGAAACTGGAAGAACCCATTCAGGATAGATGAGATTGAGTTCTATAAACCCTCACCTGTGTGTTAGGCCCGGGGCTGTTTGGGGCACGGAGAGAGCTGGAGTGTCAGAGGAGTTTTGCTTCTGGCTGGCCAGACAGGCAGCTGAAGTGCTCTGTGGGACTGGTTTGTGGCCTAGTTGGGAAGGTCTCCAGTCTGGGGCAATAAGAAGCCCCGAATTTGAGCGATTCACCCTGAGTGGCACCCTCAGCTGTGCCCAGACCCGGCCCAGTCCGTCACAGGTAAATAATGAAACAATTAGTTAAGCAGTTAAATGAGCTGTTGAATAATTTAATTAAAAAGAAATCTCTTGTGCCATCATCCTTATGACAAAACATTTATGCATCAGGATGCACGTCAACATATTTTTTCCAACTGAGCTCTCTTGTGTGTCATATGCCAATGAAAAGCTGATGATCTCTAAATACGTCAAAAGTGTTTTTGTTTTTCAAATGATTCAACTAGTGACCAGTGTCATGATCAAGAGTTAGGGCCTGATTCAGCTTCCATTAGGTCAATGGCAAAACTTCCATTGCAATCAATGGGAGTCGAGCAGGGCCCTTACTGAGGATTTCTTACTGTGAAGACAGGTCATTTATCTTGCACAACCCATCTGAGCACAATTCCATTAGTAAAGCCACAGTTGGCAGCAAGTGGACGGGGGTTGGGGAACCCCCGAGAGCAGCTGCTGCCATGCGGGGCTGGAGGTAAGGAGCAGAGCTCTGGAGGGCAGCAGAGCCAGGCAGGTGAACCAGAGGAGGTCAGACCTCCAGGTTCTCCCAGAGCAGCAGTTAGGAGGGAAGCCCTGGGAGATCCCGGGTGCCTGACCTCCCTTGGTCCAGAAACTTCCCTTGTTCGGGACCACGCGGGTCCCGAAGGTGCCAGACCAGAGTGATTCAACTGTACACTAATGTGCTTTTCAACAGAATAACCAACTCATTAATAAATCTCTGGGGGACATGCCAAACAACAATTGTATATTTCAGACATCTTGTCATACACTATACTACATATCTTGCATTTCTGGTGTATGGGACTTTCAACAAAAGAAAGCTCCAAGTTCAAAACAACCCAAAGATTTATAGTTGAGTCAATGGCCAAGAACCTTAGACCAACCTCAGCAATTCAGCCATACTTTAAGTTACCCCCAAGCTTGTAGGATATGCCACAACCATACATTTTAACTCTGTGCTTTCACTAGACAACACATCAACAGACTTTGATGCATAAAGCATTTAAAGGACAGCTGTGTATTTATTTTACATTTCATTCAGCATGTATACATTTCAGTGATAAGATGGTTTATCTGCAGTTTGCTTAATCTTTTCCTGTCACTCCCGGAGATTAAGCACCATTTTAATTGTAAACATTCTCTTTTCTCTGCTTCAGATTTCTCCTTAGGCCCACCAGTTCAGATAGTCCTTCAAACAGTGAGCAGGCAAGGCCTAATAAATATTTCACACATAAAAGGAATCTCATAACAAAGGGCTCTTACATCCTTCTGCTTATCTGTGGGTATTTCTGTTTTACTTTGTTTCTTGAACTCTTCTTAAAAATCAAAAGATAATTCAGTGGAATTGAACGTGAATTTCAGCAGAGGTTGACAAAGGCGTGGAGAGGAAGAAAGATTACAATGATGAGGATGTAAAGTATCAGGAACAAAATGATTACTTCACACCAGAAGATTCATTTACCACACATATTATCATGCCTCCTAGTTAAAATGCTGCTTTGCACCCTAACCCCATTAAAACATTCCCTAAAAGTTCCCATTACTAACTTGCATTTTGCCTATCAAGAGCGGATTTGGCTTCCAAGATTTAAGATTAAACAAGCCAGGTGGAAAACAAACAGAAACCTGTAGTGAATTTTTTTCAAGTTACCAAAGTGTTACATGAAGTTAGAAGCATCTATGAGAGCAAGGGTCTTATGGTTTTTATTTTCAGTCAATTTTTCCCTGTCAACATTGGCCAACTGGTAATTAATTATTATTACAAAATAAGTAAAATGTAACACAGGTTAAATGCAGACCCAGATAGGTAAAGTAGGTAAAAAGTGCAACATACTGGATTCTTCACCGCCTGTACATGTCCACAATATATTAATTAAATATCATCTACCAACTATTGATATATGGGGTTTCATCATGCTACTGTTGAAGGTAATGACAATTTTGTTAGCAAAGGTCCATTGTATTTTCTTAGGATTGACTTTTGCAAGGTGCTAAGCCCTCTAGCTCTGATTTAGCAAAGCACACAAGCATGTGCTTTGGGAGTGTGTATGTGCTTGAAATAAAATACTTTACTAGAGTGGGACCAGAGTGCTCAGTACCTTGCAGGATTGGGCCCATAGTCTAGAGCAAATACAGTCATCAAGTTCACTTGGTTGATATATAGGACACAAGTAATAAATTGGGCTCTACAGAATATGAATGACTATAAAACAAAATACATCTATTCTTCAGTCCTGTAGAGCCATCGAATTGCTTTCTTAGCACAAGTTGCTTCATAGATCTTTATCTAGTTTCTTCATAGAAATCCTGCCCTGCATCTCCAGAGGCTTAGGGTCAGTCTCGTGTTTTTAAAAGAAATGTGCATTGTTAAAATAACAGCAATGTGGTGGCTTTGCTGTGAATAATTTTGACTTCATTTTATTAACATAAATTCTATTATAATGTAATATTTAATTATAATTCTGTATATTAATGTATATTATAATTCTAACTGCATCAACAATCATTTCACTAGAGATTTGTGTTAAAGAACACCAAAGGGTAGGAAATAACTTAAGGCATGTTTACACTAGGAAATTATTTGAAATAATAATTGCTGAAATAACTATTTCGAAATAAGCTTATTCCCCGAGGAAAGCAGGAATACAGATTTCAAAATAACCAGCCTGTTATTTTGAAATAATGGGCTTGGTATGGTGGATGCTCCACTTATTATTTCGAAAAAAGGGATATTATTTTGAAATAACTCCCTAGTTTAGGCCAGGGATTAGTATGTTAGGTTCTGGGCTATAAACATTATCTGAATTGGTTTTTATTTTTCCCTTCAACAATAAAAGTCATCTTCCTCTTATGGAATCCAAATCAAAACTTTTCTAAATTATAGGGAAGAACCATCTCCACACACAGGAGTGGATAATTTCTTTCTTCCACTGCACTACACTACATTCCATCTAACCATTGCTTAAAACGTCAGTCATTCCTAGCAAAAACAAAAGACCCTATATATTGGTCCAGAAAGGACAAGCTGAACAAAGAGGATTGTCCATTCAATAACTTAGGCTCATTTACGCGGGGGTTTTAAATTGACTCAAACTGAATTTATCCAGTTTGAAAATGCTTGTGTACACTTTTGGGAAAAAAAGATA